ATCAAGGAAAAATTTATGTAAAGTTATAAGAAGTGCAGCATGACCAAGTGTGTTGTAGGAGTCGAATGTACTCATGTTTATAAATTGGTCACAATTGCTAGCAGAAAGAGTACAAGGCAACTCCTCCAAGCGTTGAGCAAGCTCGATAGACCTTTTTGGAGTGTCCAGCCAATAATTGATTTCGACAATCATCTAAAACTTTGTGAATATCAAACATGGCTAGGTCACAGGGAATAGAGAATGTAGAATTAATCCCTATTGAAGGCTTCTTTGTAATTACAGCAACACACTGTGGAGGTTCATCTCTAATGACAACCGTTTCATTAAACCCTAACACCAACATGAAAGTTAAAGCATGATATAACTCGCTTAGCTCAAGAGCCTTTCCAGTCAGAAAAGACCCCAGTTGATCAATAAGGTATTGTTCCTCAATTTGAGTAGTAGCATCATCACCAGAACATACAAATAAATTTGCTATAGGCTCTCCCCGTAGCTTGTACATTGCACAAGACTTTATAACACCACCGTTGTGTTCAATACTCAATTCAACTCTACCTGAAGCAACCTTAAATTCCTGCCCCGTGTCGAACCACTTGTCCATATAACCACAAATTGGTAAGCCAATATCTCTTGCATTAGTGTTATGCCCTGAATATATATGACAGTCCTTTTGTCGTTTTGCAGTCAATAACAGTGAATTATGCTGTCCAATAGCAACCCAATTGCATTTGTTTATGTCAAAATCATAAGGAAGCCACAATATCTTTTGAGTCGCCCCAACACTTGGATATGCTATTCCAGCAAATCTCCCAATAGCATTTGACATGGCAGATCCTTGATTACTAAAAAGAATCTGAAAACCTATTTTATCCCCTAGAAGAGAATTTTCAAAATGTCGAGCTACATTGCTTTGTCCATTTCCCTCTTCCTTATGTTTAGATACCAAGGGTGGAGTTACATGTTGATTGTAACTAATAGAAACCACTAAGGAAGTAATGGGAACAAGGTACAAAGAAATACCGGTACCATTGTCGAATGCTGCAGCAGTCACCTCGGTTTGCAAGGTCTCACGGCTAGACTGGAGTAAGTTATCATTCTCACAAAACTTGTCATTGATCACCTTGTCAATGGTCGTGGTTGAATTTTCTTCATCAGCGACACAAATCGGAGGATCAGGAATGCCTGAGCTAGTTGTTGTAATAGAAGAGTTGTGATCCACTGATTGTCCAGTTTCAAAAGTTGATAACGACTCAGATTTGTTTATGTGAGAGCTTCCATCAAACACTTGGACCTCCTCTGATTTTGTAAAGTTTAAAGCTGATGTTGTTGCATCAGTAAGGACTTCAACATCTGATTGTTCAGTGTCAAACACCTTGGAACAACAACTATGTGACATTTCTCTCAACAGTATTCGCATAACCCCAAATCACGGACCATTGTCCCTTATATGTAACCATTCTTACGCCTGTTACTCAACCTGGATCCCAAATTAACCTGGCTCTAGGGGTGTACATAAGCCGGGTTGGTTCGGATTTTACAATTATCAAACCAAATCAATTGTGTCGGGTTATTAAATCTAAAGACCAAACCAAACCAATAAAACTTGAGTTTTTTACTCTCGGTTTTTCTCAGGTTTTCTCGGGTTATTCGGGTTTTTTCCCGGTAAAATCTTCGTAGAACAAAACATATAAATTATGCTCAAAGTATTTCTTTAGTCCTAGTAAGATACACCTATATAAAGTATTTTTCAAGAAAATAATACAAAATATGAGATATGTCATGGCATTATCCTAAAATATTCAACAATAGAGACAATAAAATTATGTAATATAAATGTTGTTAGTTAAAAAGCCATATTAAAAATAAACATAATTTAAAAGTACTAAGTCATGCTAAAATAAGTAGACTAACAAGGGAATATTAATTACATGACTAAACACTAAAGAAAAAATAAAAATAGGTTATGCATTTTTATCTAAATTATTGCAAAACAAAAAATAAATATTCAATACATTCCCGTTCGTAGTATTGAATTGAATGTCTTTTGTTAGCATTAGTATTGATTTGATTTTGGTTTGGGTTTTTGTTAGCACTATTTAATTTATTAATGTTAATGGCTATAAAACTTATTGGAACATTCAAAAGTTCCAAGTCCAACCTTGAAATAATACCTCNGTTGGTTTGGTTTCGGTTTGACTTTCTTTAGTTATAACCAAACCAAACCAATTATGGTCGGGTTTTTTTTCTCGGTTTGACTCAGATTATCGGGTTGGTGCGGTTTGTCGGTTTCCTTTGTACATCCCTACCTGGCCCTACTGCTTGTACTCGGCCCAATAGTTCTTTTCAGCCCAATAGCTACTTGGGCTAGTGTCGGTTCATAACATTTTATCCCAAAATTATCTTTACTTATCCGTCATACCAAACGACCCCTTAATGAAATGCTAATTCCTCTTATTTTCGTGCGTATTTATGTCATTCGACAGAATCCAAGCTTGGGTATTTTTGATCAGGTAAATTTTTTTTTTTCTTTCATAAAACCTCTAAGACACAAAGGATTAAAAGATTTATATACACATATATTACCTTAAGTTTTAGTTATTTTATTTATTTTACATTTAATATTTAATATTTTGAAGTATCTTTTGTTTTGTTAAAGATTTATATATCAGTAGAAAATATAGACATTATTTTGTGCTAGAAAATCTAATAATTTATGATATCAAAAATGAAATGAAGTTAAATAGAGTAACATGAATGGTGAATATTCACACTATTAAAATTTCAGCTTACTTACAATCATGATAGTTGATATTATAGTAAAAGCCCATGTTAAGTATTTTACTATAAATTTTCAACTTACCTTATCTTATGTCGTTCTCCAAGGAAAATATGCTTAGCTAAATTTGGTGTAAATATTTGATGAGGATAAGTTTTCACCCATTTGCAATCGGTGCAAATGAGGACAAAAACCCTCTAATTACATGTCAATCATAACTAATTGACTCTTTTAACTTTATATTTTACAATTTCTTTATTGCAGTAAGATAATATATGCTCCCAAGTTCTTTGAACTTGAACAAATATAGATAAAGAATTAACTTGGTACAAGATAAGTTAGTACTTATCCACACTCTTAATTAGTACTCGAGGACACGCGTTCAAGCAGTAAATATGTATATCCTGTTGACACTAAAATGATTTACTTGTATTCAGTATTACAGTATATAATATTCCTTTGTGCTTTTACACAAACCTTTTAGCAGATCATAAATAAGCAATAGATATTTTTACTTTACATTAATACTTAATCAATAAAAATATAATTGAGCACAATAATTGAATGTGAATAAATATTTTTTATTTATAGTCGACCAATTATGACCCCGAATCAGTCCTTTAAAAAAAGGTAGACATTTATCCTTTGTACTAAGAATCTTAATTTTTTTCCATGCATTTACTTTTGGATTATTCATGCTTTTACATTAGCGGCTTGTATTTACTCCGATATTAATGGAGCCTCAGCATGAAATGTATGAATTCCACGTGTCAAAATATATTCTTCAAAACGTCAAACTTACCCCTCAATTTTTACTACCCTCTTATCTGTTATATTTATGGTTAAAAGCTCCATTAGGGTACCGGCAAATACAAATGATTAGTTAACATCAAGTAGGGGTGGGCATCGGTCGGTTCGGTTCGGTTTTGAACATTATCGGTTTTGCCTATCGGTTATCGGTTTACAAATATCATAACCCGATAACCAAACCGATAAGATATTGGTTATCGGTTATCGGTTAATCGGTTATATATCGTTATCGGTTCGGTTATCGGTTTACCCGATAACATAAAACAACTAAAAAAATTTGCAATATATAAAACAAAGAAATCAAACTGCCAGAAAGTGTAAACTGCCAACTTTTGTTGATTCTTAACAAAAGCACGCTCCCACTTCTGTGCAGTATCTACTGATGTCTGGCGGAGAACTGGTGGTGAGTCTTGCGTCTTGACTCTTGGGGGCTACGACGGAAACAAGAATGAGAACTGAGAGACAAACGACTGAAGACTAAAGATTGAAGAGGGAATTAGGAAAATAAATAACCCTAGTATATACTTAAGGGTAAATTAGTAAATTATATCATTCTTATTGGGTTATCGGTTTTTACCCAATAACAAAAATGCAAATCGAGCCCGAACCGATAACCCAATAAAAAAAAATTTAACCCGTTACTGAACCGTTAACTCAATAACCCAATACCGATAACCCAATAAAAAATTAACGGTTCGGGTTATCGGTTTTACCCGATATATGCCCACCCCTAACATCAAGGGTATGAATAACTCCCAAAATATAAAGAAGGATAAAAAGTAAAATATTTTGTAAAAAAATATTTTATACGGTACAACATTATCTTTTATGATTTTTCTTAAAAAATAAATGGATTAAAAGTCATATGAATTGATTTCTTTATTTTTACATTTTGGTCTATGAGAAATGAGCACACCATTAATCTCGATTCATATTAGCTCTTCCCTCTAAGCGCGGCCATCCAGTGGCGTTAAGGGTATCAATTGAGACTCTTTCGCTGAAAAATTACATTATATTGCTAGGTTAAAGAGTTAATCTTAATATATATATTGTTTATTTATTTATTTCTTCTATGTATTTATTTTTTGACATTCTATAATAAAATTCAGGCTCTGCCACTGAGTCCATCTTGACTCTAACACTTGTCCCGATATAACCACTAGACAAACAAAACTAAATTTAATCCTAACTATCAAATTAGTTTACATATATTTTTTACAATTATTTGAAGTATGCTTCTAAAATATTAAAGTATATCCTTGATCAATTAGAAAATCCAAATATCCTGTAAACAAAAAACATATTTTAGACAAATCTCAAAGATTAGGGACCCATTTGAACATTTTCCTTATGAGATTTTTGCAAGTAGAAACACGGTTGGGAAACGGTGAGGATTTCGGTGTTATCCAGTGCAGGCTTTTTCCAGTTTACCTCAACAGAACCCGACAAATGTTTCTCCCCCCACCGGCACACACACACACACACATCTTCCTACCCCCTTCTCAAATTCTTCCATTTGGGTCTCTCTCTTTCTCTCTCTACATTCACATAAACCCTCTCTCTCTCTTGACTCTTATCTTTTTTCTTGTATTCGTATACATGACGAATTCTTAAGAAAGATAACGACTTAGTTAGTAAAAATAAAAAGATAAGATGAGGATGTTAATGGCCATTGATTCATCTCTATATGGTTTCTTGGTTATTGCAGCTTACCCCAAAAGGTATTCTTCCAAAATTACTTCAGATTTAGTCCTTTTCTTAGGCCTTGGCTTCATTGATTGGTAATTTTTCATCTACCCCACCTCCACTTTTACTTATACATCCACTATATTTACACTTATATTAAAAAAACAAAAGATTTTTATACTAAAGATTTAATTTTTGTATGTCTTTCTAAAGCTTATGCACTTTGTTGATTCTTGGATTTGGGTTGAATATAAATAGGGATTTCTTGATTTCTGCATCTTTTTTTCTATTGCAGTTAGTAATCTGTTCTTAGCAGCTCATTCTTTTGTTGCATAATAATTAGGGCTTTGTGATTCTTGTTTTGCTCTACAAAATTCTATATTTATTTTCACTTGACCTGGGCTTATAGTATTTGCTGATATTTGCATAATAATTAGGGGTTTGATATAGGTTTGATGTTATAGGGTTAGCATCTTTGATGTCTTTGTAAAGATTAGTCTCTTGTCAAATTGTTCTTTGGTAGAATTTTGTGAGATAGTAAAATTTGTCAAAAAAAAGAAGAAAAAAAAAAGAGAAAAGGGAATTGTGAGATAGTAAATACTTGTTGTTACTGTATTTTCAATGGAGAATCATCACCCTTCGACCCGTTTGTCCATGGATTCAAGTGCTTCTTCTTCACATGATGAATTAGACCTCGAGATGAATCGCCAAGTAGTCATAACTTGTCCACCTGATATTAATTTACCTTTATCAGCTGAGCGTAGCCCTCCTCCACAGCCATGGAACTCGGAACACTGTGATATTCTTGATGTTGGGCTTGGGACCCAAGTGTATGAGACTGAAAGTTCTCTTAGTGCATCTAAGATCGGAAGGAAATGTGCGAAACGCTTAGATAGTATTTGGGGTGCTTGGGTTTTCTTTAGCTTTTATTTTAGGCCCGTGTTAAATGAGAAATCCAAGGCAAAGATGGTACGAGATAGTAATGGATATTCGGGGTTTGATAAGTCTGATCTCCAGCTTGACGTATTCATGGTTCAACATGATATGGAAAATTTGTATATGTGGATTTTCAAGGAAAGGCCCGAGAATGCATTGGGTAAGATGCAGCTCCGGAGTTACATGAACGGGCATTCTCGTCAAGGAGAGCGTCCATTTCCCTTTAGTGTTGACAAGGGTTTCGTCCGATCTCATAGAATGCAGAGGAAGCACTACAGGGGACTATCAAATCCTCAGTGTATTCACGGGATTGAGGTCGTTCCATCTCCCAATCTCGTGGTTCTTGACGAAGAGGAGCGGAAAAGATGGATGGAACTCACGGGTAGGGAACTCAACTTCACTATCCCACACGAAGCAAGCGATTACAGTTCATGGAGAAACCTCCCCAACACTGAATTCGAGCTCGAGAGACCACTCCCACCAATTAAGAGTAATTCGCATTCCAACCCGAAGAAACTAGCTAATGGGTCAGGGCTTAATTTGTTAACTCAGCCGTCCAATCACAGCAATGGGGACGCGATGGATCTACTACCTGCCAATGGCAAAAGGAAAAAGGATTTCTTCCCTCACGGAAATGAAGATGAGTGTTATCTGCAAGTAAATCCTCCTTCCTATCAAACTCCGGATTTGGAAATACACCCAACTGAACCGCATTGGTTACATGAATTTAGCGGGGTTATGAGGGACGCCTACGGGCCCGTTACGGCTGCTAAAAGCATATATGAAGATGAGCAAGGTTACTTAATTGTTATCAGTTTGCCATTTGTGGATCTTCAAAGGGTGAAAGTTTCCTGGCGGAACACGCTGACACATGGGATAATAAAGGTATCTTGTTTGAGCACATCTCGGATGCCATTCATCAACAGACAGAACAGAACTTTCAAGCTCGATGATTCATCCTCAGAACACTGCCCTCCAGGGGAGTTTGTCAGAGAAATTCCTCTCTCAACAAGAATTCCTGAAGATGCTAAAATTGAAGCATATTACGACGAATCAGGAACAGTGCTCGAGATGTTGGTGCCAAAACTCTGTGAAGGGCCTGAAGAACATGAAGTTCGCGTTTGCCTCCGTCCTCACCTTGGGGGAAATGACCTCATGTTGACCTAAAGAAAGTAAGTAGAAACGCAATCGCGATTGTTAGGAAGGGTGCTTCATTATGCACCAACTTAGTTTCTTATGATGTGGTTTATGAAACTGTATGATCTATATTCGTTTTCCACGTACTAAACGTTGTTGCGTTGTTAGTAGGTTTCTCAGCCTAGCTTTAGCTTCTGTTGCAACAGTATTTTACTATATGAAATTTGATACCCTTACTTAGTTTAGTCAATTGATATTTTGTCATCCATTAATTTCATACCTCTTATTGGAATTGCTTGCAATGCTAGTTACACGTTTGTTTGTTTTCAGATCTGAAGATTGAATGTTTAAGTAGACATTATGCTGTGTTACACAGTGGTTTGTCATATTGGTATTCAAGAATTTGTTTCAAATATATGAGGAGAGATACCCACGTATCCAGTGTTGTCAAAGACAAAAAACTGAAAAACTCTACTAAGTGCTCTAGGTCAATTGGGGCTTTAAGTGCAAAGTGAATGTGGGATTTAATTAAAAAAGGCGCAATGCGAGATAAAAAATAAAAATATATACGTAATTCAATAGAAAAGTAACAGCCAATTTGGAAATAAACAACTCGCAATCATTCATATTGTTTTCCTTAACAACTAATATACTTATTTGCCGATTGTACTGTAGTCTAGCATTACTTCATTTGAGATAGAATTCATGGGCAGTAAGGGGCACGTCTTGGTGGCTTGCCTACACTGAAGCGCAGCTCAAGTGAGGCAAAGCGCCTTCTCTGAGTTTCAGGGCTTAAGCACGCCTTAAATGAACCTTTGACAATACTGAACTATCTTTAGATACACAGAGTTTTTAAGTTAATAATAATTTATATATTAAATAAATTTTTTAAGATAAAACAAAATCTAAATTAAAATTTATTGGGTTCGGACGAATCTATATCTTAAACTCTAGCTCCGCCCCTAATTATGCGGTTGGCAGTAGGGGTGTTCATGGTTCGGTTTGGATCGGTTTTTCAGTAAAAAGAAACCAAACCAAGTAAGTTAGTTTTTCAAATATTAGAACCAAACCAAACTAATTAAATCGGTTTTTTCTCGATTTGGTCTATGTCGGATTTTGTTGGTTTTCGGTTTTTTCGGTTATTTGTCAGTTTTTTCTTGAATATAAGACATACACTACCAAACATATATTCCGGCGACCACATTTTCAACGTAACACTGTCAAATCAATTGCCCTTTGAGAAATCTATTATTTACCAAGATATATTGGTGATAATTGAATCAAATAGTGATGAATAATTTAAGGACTCAATTAAAAATATACTATTTTTAAAACAAAATGGATTCTTACACTTAACAAAAGAAACTACCAATCAAACTAGAATGTAAAGATAAAGAACTATACTAAAAGTGTAAACTATTAATATATTACCATAAAATTTTTGAAACTTTGTATAAAAATATAAATATATATAGTTGTAATAATAAATTTGAAATAGCTACTCCTATAGTCGGTTTGGTTCAGTTTTATTTTCGGTTTTTTCTGATTAAAACCAAAACCAAACCAAATTTGATCGGTTTTTAAAATTCAAAATCAAAATCAAACCAAAAGATATCGATTTTTTTGATCGGTTTGATTTGATTTTCGATTTTTCGGATTTTTATGAACATCCCTAGTTGGCAGCATCAACTTCCAAACGGTGTGGTCAAGTGTGGCAACTGCTATATACTGACTTTGTTGGTTCCCTTTTGAGCTTTTCAAACAGGAATGAAGTGTTTTTCCTTTGAAGTATTCTGGTTTCTTAAATAATTGTAGAAACTTTTGTATAGTCAAAAAAGGACTTGGGTACACCGTACGTGCTAATTTTCTTGAGAGAGTGGGATAACGACGTTTAAATCCGATACGCGTTTATTAAATAACGTCAAGTATATAAGACAGACATAGGCATTTAGCCGTAAATTGACCTTTCAGATAAGCAATAGTCCAATTATCATAGTTGACCTTCCTTATCTCAATTTAAGGAGTAAATACTCCACTAATAAAGAGATTACATAACGCTCCAATATACATATGGGAACTTATAGGCGACTAGAATTAATAAATTAGACAACTCCTATCAACAAAACAAAAAGGGAGATACTGAGGCAGTGGTGTAAAATGGACATGTTGGGCTGATTTTGGGCAAGTTAAATTGGATTGAGTAAATAAATGGGCGGGTTAATGACTGTCCCAAAAGTTACTTGGTTAAAATAGCATGGTCTAGCCAATTTTCAGACTAGTCATTCAAAAATAACCAGCGTTTACCAAGTCATTGAAAAATAGCCACTACTTTGCTGCAACAGAGACCGGTCCAGCATAATATACTGGAGTTCGGTGCACATGTGTATGAACTTCCAGCATATTATGCTGGACCGATATATTTTGCTGATGGAGCACCGGTGCTCCAAACTCCAGTATATTATTGTCATGACCCAAACCGAAGGGCTGCGACAGGCACCCGGTGCCTTACTCAACCGAGTACCAACGTAACATATCTTTCTTATCATGTTATCATGAGTAAATGAGCTAGAAAACTCGTCCTGAGATAACAAGAATAAAACATAAGGGAATAGTCAACATATGAAGACCCAACATGATATACAAACTAATATATGTGACATACGGGCCTATAAGGCCGACATGACCATTAGTAAACTCGAAACATAGGCCGACAAGGCCATACAATTATCCATACACCTGACATATGTCTACAAGCCTCTAAGAGTACATAAAATCATAAAGGTC